AGTTTTTTTTTGTTTGACAATAAAAAAATATGATATGATATCAATTATATTAAATTATATAATTTAAATTATTAAATAAAAGATAAGTATTTTATTATTAAAACTTATTTTGTTCACCTGTTTAATAAGAGGAGGGATTTATCAACAATTTGTTTGTTAGAGTAAAAACATTTCGATTTTTTTAAAATGAAATCTCTAATATGAGTCTTGCAAATAGAGAAATAAACTGAAAAGTTTATGTCTTATAAGATTCGACATGATTTTAATATGAATTAGTCGGATCCAATATGACTTTTGCATACCAAAAAGTTAATACAAAAAAAAAATTATTTATATATAAATTTTACATATTATATTTATATTAAAATCTTAATTATTTATTTTTTTATTTTCAATAATTAAGATTTATTATAACTTTTTAAATAAATAATAATAATTTTTAAAAAATATCAATTTAATTTAATTTAATTATTAAAAATAGATATATAAAAGTAATAATTATTAATTAATAACTCATAAAATAATTAACATTTATTATTTAATAAATTAAAATTAATTTATAAGATGAAATTTTCAAAAATCATGTATAATTACTTATCTTAAAAAATAATTTTATGCAACGCTAACATTTTTGTACAACATAATAACCACACTCAATATTAATATTGAGAAGATTATTAAGTTAATCACAAGTTAAAGAGTTGGGAAAACCTTATTGATAATAAGTTGATATTAATCAAATATTAAAAACCTTTTTTTTTTTTTTTAAATTTCATCTCTGTCGAGTCAATAAAAACTTACATTTTAATAATACTTTAGATTAATAGTAAATATTACATTTAAATTCTTATTGATTGTTGATCACGAAACCTTGAATGGTTGGGCAGCTCTCATTATTTGAGCATGCTCCTTATTTAATAATTTAAATTTTAGAGTTTAGTATATAATTTGGATAAAAATTTTTTATGGTTTTTAGTTTTTTTTTGTTTGACAATAAAAAAATATGATAT